TAACAGGATATTGGACGTTTCGTGTAAATGAAACATTTGTACAAATTGAGTTCTGTTCAAACTCAATTTAAAAATTTCGATATTGCCCGCCGAGGCACGGAGTTTCTATAAAATATTCCTGGAAAACATAAAAAAAGCTTTCCTGCTCTTTTTACCACCCCGTTTCGATGTTAGGCAAATTACGATGCCATGTCTGGGTAGATAAATCTGTTTCAAAATACTAAAATGGAAAATAAATTCACCTGCGTGCATGTTGTATTTTAGTGAAATAATTTAATGGAAGTGGTAGGAGATTGTGCAATTATATGATTTGAGTACGTACTGGCAGTCGATAAAGTTGAAAATTAAAGATTTAAAGTTATATTAAGGGAAGTAATAGTGGGAATCATGGGCATAGCAACAACAATAACTATAACAGAATTACAACGATGTCAACAATAATATTAATGAGAATAACGATGATGAAAGCAGCAACGACAATGAAAACAATGATAATTATAATTGAAAGCAACAACAACAACGAAAACAATGACAATAATAATTGAAGGCAGCAATGACAATGAAAACAATGACAATAATAAGAACAGTGACTACAATATCAAGGAAAATGATGACCTGAACAACATCAACAACATCAGGAACAATTGTGAAGACAACAACAAAAACAATGACAATAACAACAACATCAAGATCGACTATAACAACAATAACAACAAACGCAATGACAACAACGACAATAACATCAACATCAAGGCCAACTATGATAACAATAACAACAAGAACAATACCAACGACAACAAGAACATAAAAAACATTAATATCGACCAAAAAACATGAACAGCAACATCAAGAACGACAACAATAGTAATATCGACGGAAATTATCCAAACCTACAATAACGTAACAATATATTTGACAGTAAAAAGCGAGTTTCTCAGCAGTTTAAACGAAAGTTACAAATAAATTTTTACGACGGCCCAGAAACAGGAGGAGGAGGTCATAAAATATATTTAAATCGCTCAATGGAAGTTTGCGCCGCGGATAAAATATTTCCGCGAGGCCGGTGGGCCTTTCTGGCTGGCAATAAAAAAGGCAGACGGACGTGCCTGCAAGTTTTTCGCGCTAGAGAAATTTCAAACACTTCGCGTGCCTCGGAGCTCGCGGAAACTCGCAAGAATCCGCCGCCTCCGTTGTTTTCTCGTTATTCCATATTACACTTGCAGCAGTTTCATTACTCTGCCGCCCCGAACGTCCGCGTCCTTCCCGCGCCGGCGGAAAATTTTAGTCGAAACTGGAAACTTTATTACGTTTTCGCGTAATTTCACGCCGACGGCCGTAACCGGAACCGCCTGGTCACTTCGAATTGTATTTACCCCCGAAACGAGTCTTATTTTGTTCCGTCCTTTAAGATAATCTTTATCCTAAAACGAATCGAAAATGTCGAATAAATTTCTTAACACGAGCCTCCGTTTTCGAGGTACGATCGAACCTCGATAATTGAACATCAAGTCCCATTTACTAATTGTCAATTTCTTCCACTTGCCAACAAAGTGGAACGACAAAATGAACATCGAATCGTTGTACTAATGTACGTTTTATTTTTGTTCCAGGTAATTATATCTGTGGGAATAACAGGCGTGTAAACGGCTGGCATCATAACGTTCGCAGCGACCAGATTCCGTAAAGGGTTTACGAGGTGCGTAATTAAACCTGATCATCTTAACGGCCATTGTGGCTGCAGATATCGTCCCCGTCTTCGGTCTATAAATACTCGCGATAGGCTTTTAATTGGAATTCATGGGGTCGAGTGCATAGTGTTTCCCATCCGATAATCTTCGGTTGTATCGCGTGATATCGGCCGGGCAGTTAGGCCTCATTGTTAACAAACGATAAACGCATTTCGGTGGCCGCGGCTGCTGTAAATTTCGAGCCGGTCGTTAATTAAAGTTGGGAACGGGTTTGTTTTGTTCCCTTGGATCCTCGATTCTTGAAGCGCGACGGGTTCGTCGACACGCTCGAACGGAGGCAAACTTTCTCAATGGCTCATCAGGATTAGTGGTTCAGCTTTGTCCGTCTTTTTCTTTGAGCGTGTAAATTGAATTTGATCGCCGCTCTATTGAATCTTTAAAAAGTTTGTCGCAGTGCACCTTGACTGGAAGAATAAGCAAACAATGGTCAGCTTCTGGTCGTTGTTTTTAGGCTCAGCTAGGTCCAGAAGACATTGCTCGACTGATCAATTAAAATCTGATGGAGCCTCTTAGCTGACTAGAACAACAGGGTTTGTTAAGGAGTCTGCTATGATCATGCTAACTGAAATTGTGTTGGAAGACATTATCTGATAGATAAACTTGGTAGACTGGTCCGTACATAAATTTCACCGAAACATACATCAATCTGCATCGATAAATCATGCTCTAGCAGCTTAGTGCTCACTGGGAATTCAGTTACTGGGGCAACCATGAATCGATAAGGTTTCAGAGGGACCTCAGGGTACAGTTTGTTGTTTGGCCTGAAGCAGTTCAGGTGATATCCTAAAATAACCTAGACTGAGTAATTGGTTCTGAGTCCGAGACCTTAGTAGACTCTCCATCGGTGCAATGGAAACGCAATTATGCTACGGCGAAAATAGTTAGAAAAGGTCAGTCGGTCTATAAGTGGAGCAATTATGTAGTAGCAACATTAGTTAACGTCCGAAGCAATTAAGCTTCGGTATAGCCACGAATAGTTACGACGACAGCAATGCCCATTCATGCAACGCTCAAGACTTAATGGACACTGCACAATTGTACAGTGTTTTCTTCATAGGATTCTCAGAAAAAGTTCTCCAGACCTAGTCATGAGCAATCAGGATAAAAGTAACACATATCCAGGTCCTAATAGACATTATCCAAGTGTACAGATCTTTTTTCATAGGATTCTTCGTGCAACACTAGGTGAAGCAAGGATTAGGAGAGTATATAGGTTCTTGAGACCTAGCCAAGAGCAATTAGGATGAAAGTAAGACATATCCAGGTCCTAGTAGACATTATCCAAGTGTACAGATCTTTTTTCATAGGATTCTCTGTTCAACACTAGGTGAAGCAAGGATTAGGAGGATACACAGGTTCCTGAGACCTAGCCATGAGCAATCAGGATGAAAGTAAGACATATCCAGGTCCTAATAGACATTATCCAAGTGTACAGATCTTTTTTTCGTAGAACTCTTCGCTCGATCGATAGATAGAACAAGGGCCATGCCATCAAACAGATCCTTCAGATACAAGAGTCCCAACTGGGTGCAGACTTGAACGCTATCTAGCAATTTCGCGAGACGCCTCTGTCGCCAGGCCAGCGAATATCACGCTGGAAGGGAAGAAACTGGCCTCGACTGACATTTGCAAATGACGTTAGCCCGTATCAACGTAGCGGCTCTATCCGCGCCGAGACAAAACGTCTCCTCTGACTTGGCGGCGGAGTCGTCTCGTAAATTAGTTCCGAGTTAATCGGTGACGGCGTAGGGTAGCGAGCACCGGCTCTTCTGGAAATATGGCCGCGCGAAAAGAGATAATTTGCATTTTAATTGCGCCAGTCTGCGCTGCTCCTCCTCTCCCCTCCGCAGCGTTGACACCCTTGCAACCTAGTTCGCGTCTTTTCACGGTAGCACTCGAGCGCTGAAAGCATCGCATCGGTTATTGTGCACCGGCGCTAACTCCATCTGGCTTTGGGATCACTGATTTCTCCCTAAGTTTGCTCAAAATTGCTCGATCCAGTTACATTGCCACTCGTGAACCGTTCATAAGTATCTAGATAATGAAGCTGACACTACTTTACCCAAAACAATTGAAAGATTACTTGACTTGAGTAGTTTAATGCTCAACACTGACCAAACCTAGATGCTCATAAGTATTCATGTGGCTCCATCTAGCTATGGGGTTGATGTATTTACTCAAGATAACAATGGCTGTTTCTTGTAAAGTTTAGGTCGTTGACTTCTTCCTGATAAATTCTATATTAGTAATTTTTTTTCTCAGTATTCGAAGCATCCAACAAGCGTGGTAGAAGTTTCCTAAAACTTCAACAGATTTTTTCTCTCGTTTTTCACCGTCTTCCATCGCCACTCCCGAAACTTTCGCTCCTCGAATCGTAAGAAAGCGCCGCGTTTAATTATAAGTGCATTCAATTTACTTGGTCGGTTCCTTTCTCCGGATTTCTTTAAATTTCTTCCCTCTTCAACCCCTTTAAAGCGAGCGGTGGCAGGGCGGACGGGCGAGGACTAACGGGAACAGAACGCTTCAGAAGTTTACGCGGAAGATGCTCGCGAACTTTGCCTTTAAGTTCCACCCTCGGCGGAGCCATTAATAAATGGGGCTCTTAGAATAAGTTGCATAGAATAATCAATAATTCGATGAGTTATAGGGAAGAGCGAATTACTAGGGTGAAAATACGATCTGTAGCAATAGCCAGTACGCGTTCGCGGCACGTGAAAATTCATGTTGAACTCGCCGCGCCATTTAAGTCGAATCGTTAAGACGTCAGAATAATCGGCTAAGGGTAGGTCTCAAAGTATAAACGCTGACTTTTTAACGAACTTTTGCATAGTGGTAGAACTTTAAAAACTGAAGCTAATGGTGTACGGTTTTAGGTGCAGACGGTCAATAGTTTATGAGATATTTAATGTCAAAGTTAGGATAGTGCAGTATACTGTGGAACTTCTTTTTAAGAACTCCATCAAATATGTAATCCTTTAGTTACTTCATAGTTTTTTAAGCTTTGTTATTGTACGAAAGCTCTTAAAAAAATTAGGGTTATACTTTCCTTGAATATCTATAGTTGGGTTTTTAATGGATTGACCATGGTCACGTCTCCCACTGTGAACCATGTCAACCACCACTCCTATTCTGACTCCCTGTTAACCTCTTCCACTGTTTAAAAGATGGAGGTTGACCAATTTGATCCGATTATAATAAACCACACTGGAGGGAAATACTGTGGTCGTTTATATTTAAACAATATACGGGATATATACAGGAGTTTGGCTCAAAGAATGATATATTTACAATTTTTCAAAATGTCTGTCGTCTTCTACATTTTACGATAATAACTTAAAAACCTTAACAAGCAAATTTAACGATAATATATACACAAATGGTATTAACGCTAAGTAAATGCATGGATGACAACTATAGTCACTCCACAGTGTTTCCTATGGCTATAAACGAAACATACAACGAATGGTTAGTACTGAAAGAGTAAGAACTCCATTTTATTTTGTAGTCCCACGCGAGAACAGCGTGAAGAATAATCGGTAAAAAATAATCTTCGACCTCTGCCATGATTCGAAAGAACTTTCACAGTGGTAATTAGGAGGTGAGTCTCTTCTCCGTGGTGTGCTCGTTAAATATTAATTTTGAAAATTTAATTCGATCCACGTCTGCCTTGAATATCGAGAACAGACCGCGCTCCCGTATTCTTGGCAGGAATCCACCTCCGTAGCGAGCGTCACCTGAACAGTAACAGGTTTATGGTGTCCTGGTTCTGTCGTTGCTACTTTTACGACCGTCGCGATTGGCTGCAGCGGTTCCCTTATATTTGCGGCAAAGGTCGATACGGCTCCTCATAGAGTGTATCGTAGTCTGGTCGATATTTCATTTAGCTACCCATACTTTTGATTACTCGTCCGGTCCTGGTTTCGCAATGCGCGCCGCCGCTCGAAACTTGATTCCTCGACGACGGTTTATCTCGCTTAGAAACTCGCGAAAATTAATTACCAGCATAATATCCTCAAGTTCTGATCAAGTTCGCGATATCAATCTCCCGATATACGCGAGAAACTAGTTTCGCATTAATCAGTTAAATGGCGCCGATCGGGTCGCCAATACAATAAATAACTCACCGTTAAAGCTAGAACTAATCGAGTCTACGAGCTAAATTTACACCCGCGATCTCGATATCGACATGATCGATCGTTCGACGTCCATTAAACTCTAAAAATTGACTAGAATCGAGTGTTCCGAAGTTCAACTCCATTCCGAGCGACACTTCCCGCACTTGCCACCAGAGGGCTACGCTCTCTCGCAAGTGTTCGACTATGTACATTTCTCGACCGATCGTCGATAAGGCAGAGTTACGTTACTGACTCTTTTCCTTTTTTTTTAGCTCCCGCTGACGAGATCACCGGTTATTTTAAACACACCCGTTGCCCCAACAAGCACACCAAGGTACGCTGTTGCTGCTCGTGCTGGTCTTCCTCGCCTTGGCGCCAGGCGTATCCCTGCTGCTGATGGAGTTCGTCCTCTCCCTTTCCGAATTCATCATCCCGTCCTTCTCTTTCGAGGTGTCCAAACTTCCGCTTCTGACCGTCTTCACGGACGCCAGGGAGGGCCTCTTCTTCGCGTTGAAGTACAACGACATCCTCCTGATCTGGTCCTTCTTCGGCGAGTCCTGGCCCGACGAAGACGATCTGCTCTCGTGCTTGTCCTCCTGGCCCTCTGACGTAACCGTCGTGGTGACGCTGAGCCTTCTGGGCTTCTTTCGCGTCACCTTGCCAGGTGACTCCGGCACCTCCGTGGACGTGGAGCTGCTCTGCTTCTTGAGCCTCCTCTGGGCTATCGGCGACATGGGCTTCTGCTCCTTGATCACAGCATTCTTCTCCTTCCTGATCATCCTCTTTCGACGCAGACCACTCGGTGTGGTGGGTGCACTCTCCTCGTGAGAGAAGGTCTGCTCGTCCTCGTGATGGGAGTCCCCGTCTATGGAGGTCTGCGTCTGGACTGGCACCTTCAGCGCCAAGTTGTCATAGTACATCATCCCCCTCTGCGTATACATGCCACCTCTTGGGACGAAGGGTGTGTTTTGGTACAGGTTCTGACTCTGCAGATACGGGTTCGTGTTCAGTCTCTGAAGGGTGCTGAGCTTGTACGGTGTCGACGGGCCGATCAGAGTGTGGGGACTCGGTTTCTCAAAGGAGGTCACTTGAATCTCGTGTTTGTTCACCGGTGACATCAGCTTTCCGTTGACCAGTTGATTGGAGGGGATCAGAAGACGATTCTGATCGGGTTGGACGGGCCTGTACCGTTCGCCAAGATGGACTCCTCTGTGAAGAGTGGAGGCGTCAGGGTGCGTTGGGTAGTAACACAAATTGTCGTCGTTCACCTGAACCGACAATGGCCTGGTAACGTTGTTTTTGTCCGCGTAGCTGCAAGTTGGGTCGAAAGTACGTAGGAAAGGGTTCTTAAAAATTCGGTAGTCCACGGCAGGTAGCTTGGGGATCTCTGGAGTTTCGGGGCTGACCGCTACTTTGACGCGAGGCCTCTTCAGGGTCACGCTCAAGTACGACTTGAACGGCTTAGAATCCGTTATGTTGTCCAAGGTGTTGTCGCTCTGAGTCAGTGTCGGCTGTTTGCCATCGGATTGGCCGATCGAGGCAGCCTGGGATTCGCTGGTTAGGTCCTGGCACGACATCGACTTGGTCAGTTGGTTGCCAGCGTTCGATCTGTCGTCGGTGATCAGCAGGTTGTCCGTGCTCAGAAACGTCTTCTGTTCCGCCATGTTTCTCTGACCGTTGCTCTCGCAGGGCACAGCTCCGTTCACGTAGATGTCAGCAGATCCCTTCTGAAACGCGAATTGGTTCTTGGACACCACCGTGGACTCGGTCTTGCCACTGCTGGAGCTGTTCGCGGTTCCAAAATGGCTGGTAGTTGGCGAGGGCTCGTCGGTTCGTTTCTTCAGTTTCGAAGGTAGCGGCGCGAAGAAGTGCTTACGCTTCTCCACGTCCTTCTTCGAGTCGCTGGAGCCCTGATCCTTCGAACACATCAGTTTCGGGTCCATGTGGAAACTCCAACCGTTTTCGACGACCTTCTCAGCGTTAGAACGTGGGTCTCCAAAAGGCGAAGAGTTGAGAAAGACGCCTGGTTGTTTTAGGCCAACGTTCCTTGTGTAAAGCAAGTTCTGGAAGTTGGAGAACCTGTCTGCCGCTGAGGCAAGTCGTTGTTGTTCCTGATGGATCTCGTTGAACAGCTGCATCTCAGGTGACATGGTAGCTTCCGGTGTTCCATAGCTCGTCATCTGCTTCTGAGGAATCATGATGTTGTTCTGCCAGCCTATAGGCGGTGCATGCAACATCTGATCGTTGATCTGGTCCATGCTCAGAGCAGTCATACTGGGAACGGGGAGCAACGGGTCCGTGTCCAACATGGGACACGAGGAATCCATTTCTGTCGCGTCTGAAGGCATCATCAGGTTCAGGGTACTTGGGAACTTGAACGGACAGTCTGCATAGTAACTGGGACCGCTCAGCTCGGGTGGTTTGTACGTGCCAGGGTAGAAGGGGATGTTCTCGTGGAGGTGCCTGGGCTTCAGGATTAGCAGGGGACCTTTTTCCTCTTTCTGCTGCTGGCCATCTTCCGATGAGCCTTTTTCCTTTTCCTTCTTCAGTTCTTCCTCCTCGTCGACCACCGACAGGTCGTCGAAGTCCACGTGCAGCCTGTGCACGCTGTTGGTCATCTTCTCCGAGGAGATCTTCTGGTTCTCCGCGTTCTCTAGTTGCTCGGCTTTGTTGAGATTCTTGTTCTCGTCCTGATCGTTCTCGTCCTGCTCGAACTCCTCGTCTTGCTCGAAGGAGTATTGGGATTGTTCATCTTCATCCTCTTCGGAGCGATCCTGAAAGAGATTTGGGTCTTTGAAATTGGGGTTGTTGTAAAATCTGGCAATTTACAAGGTTGGAAGAACTGGGAGTTATTAGGTTATTTATGTCGTTTTTAGATGTTAGAGAATATCGAGAGAATTTATCCGAGACCCGTGATCTTTCCAGATGGCTTAAGCTGCATCTCATAGAAGGATAATAAAGCTATTAATATTTCTCCAGTTAGCCTCGTTCAATTTGAACCGCCTCTAATTTGAGGGCAGAGGAGAGCGAGTCGAGAGATTAATGTGCGATCGATATTCAATTTCAAATAGCAATTTCTTCGCAGACGCATGGACTCACGGTAATTATTCAGCTACTGGCGCATAGTTTCACCGGAGCACTCCCATTTTCAGTAAATGGGTTCTCATTACAGAGTGTTTTAGATCGATGGTCAAGATTCGTCCGGCTAATGGGACTCACGAAATTAGACAAGAATATGTTCATAAACACAGTGACCTATACTGACCTGTAAATTGTTCATATTCTAAACTAACATACGCAATTTTTTTTTTAGGAAGATCTCCTGGACACTGTTTATCAGCCAAAGGAAGCTAAGCTTTAATTTCTCATCTATAGATCACAAGTATCGTTTCCACCCCTGCCAGGTGGATTGTACCAAGAATAATTAGCTTTCAGACCCAGTCGATCCAAATGTAACGTATCTAAGGGTTGTTTCAGGTGGAATTCGTCGGCTACCTCGTATTCTTCGCTTCCCTCGCGGCTCTTCTGCCTCTTCAGGATCTCCTCGAGCTTGTCGTACTCGTCCCGGAGGCTCCATATCTCCCTACGCAGCTGCTCGTTCTCCCTGCGCAGCTTCTTGATGTCGTTCTGACCTGCAACCAGACGAAACGATGTATCCAGCGCGCGTAAATGGGTAACCGGGCTCGCGCCACCGCGGCGTTTTTCTCGCGGAAATCGCTTAATCACGATCCTCCCGCCGGCAACAGACGGTCTGCACTCCGCACCTATCGGGACGATCGATCATTGGTCAGTCCGGGCAGCAATCTCTGCCCTCTAACCCTTCGTCTTTCGACGCGTCAAGGAACCTTGATAAATCACCCGGTGCACCCCCCTCCCCAGACCTTCCAATTACTTAACTGCGGAGATACGAATAAAGTTTCAGCGCGCCTAATCTTGCCGACGAAAGGCGAGTCCGGGCTGCGAAACAAATGAAAAATCGCGATGTCGCGGGCTCTGTTCTTCTCCACGGTGCGTCGTGTTTCGAGCACGGTTTTTTTGATCGATCGTTCCAGCGCCGCGGAGATTAGGTGACCGATTAGCCGGACGTACGGTCTGTTCCTTTTGTGCCTGCCTCTTTCAAAGTGATTAATGCCCCGTTATTTCATGGCGACGGCCAAGGGAAGCGAGCAATTGCGTTGTTTAAAGTGCACACCCCGCTATTGCCTCTTAGATTATCGCTTTGGGAGATTCAGGGGCGCTCCAACCGTGCTGGATCTTCTCGAATCCAATCTGCAGGAAGATCGAGATAGAGATACCGTTTCTTTAGTCGGTTGGGACGGGTTCGCGCTATTACTGTCCCCCGTAAACTAGGTGGGATATAGCTTCGGTGTCGTGGGTAGTTAGACAGGGTGTTTCACTGTTGATGACATCAGAAATTATAATTGTTTTATAGAGAAACGTAATGAAACTCAGCTGAACTTCGATCGAATTAGGAGCAGACCTGACTTGAAGCTCATCTTGAGCAATGTTTCGAAGGTTTTGGTTTCTTTTTAAAGAATTGTGAGGTCATGTAGGTGACTTTCAAAGATTGCCAAACAAAAGACGCACGGAGGAGGAATTCTACTTTCAAAATGGAGTCCTCCACGGCCTCCATAACTGTCCCAAGGCTGCTGAGACGCCTGGTCCAGTTTGAGGGGCATTTTATAAGCAGCCGCGTGATAACAGCTCGGTTAGCCTCGGCGGCTGTGTGTGTACTCGTGTAACAAGAAAAGCCGTGTGGTAAATCAGGATTAAAGCAAGGCTCGCCGGTCGGAAATTTAAATAAATTAAATCCTTCCGGGGGTTCATAAATTCGGATTTTCCGCGTGGACACCGACGGCTATTTAGATCCTATTAAAGCTCGCGCGGCCTCTATCGGCCGGGCGCGCGCGTTCGCGATATTTTTCTCTTTTCTCATCGGGCAACCGCGCGAAAGAATTCGCGGAATTAGCCCGGTATCTCGACTGACCCGGTGACGATATTTAAAGGCATTACCAGCCGCGACAAATTGCGCGGGCCCGCTCGAATCGTCGCCTGATCCGTCTGGAATCCTTTTTGACCGTTGCATACAGGGTGTCCCTGAACCCTTCGACAATATTCCGCCAGCCTATCGTGCAGGATGAGTCCTTAATTCATGGGGCAGATTAGGATAGGTATCTTCCAAGAATAACGAACGTTTCTCGAGGCTTCGTGTTCGAATTAATTTTCTGGGCTTATGAGAGATGGACACCAACTGTACCCCTTCAATTTGAACGATCTTTTGTGGAAATATTAACTGTAGAGTACAAAATAGTTTTCACAATTCAGAAAACACTAGTCGGGTTGGTTATACAGCAGAAAGATTCCCAATTCCGAGGAGTTTTTCCTCCCCCGGAGCACCTACATGTTTGCACAAAGTAAAGACGGAGCAACGAGACCAAACAGAAGTAGGGGGAGAACGTGTTCTCGAGCAGCCGACTAATTCCGTTCCGGATACAATACTCTCCATCATTAATTTGTCGGTAACGATACAACAAACATGCCGTGGAGTACGAACACCAATTAAAACGAAAACACGCAGCCGCTTCCCCGGAAAAGAAAAATAACAGACGTGCTCGTTCGCGGCGTACATCGTACGAATTATCAATGATCCGGCGCGCAGCATCCCCCAAAGGCCGAAACCGACGCGTATCCTCATCGGAAAGCCTTCGTTTTCAATAACAAGCTCGCAACAAAAAGACAAGCGTCAACCCCTTTTCAACGGCCCACGATATTAATTATTTCTCGAGGGCAGGGGGGGGTGTGTTTTGCCGCTCGCGACTGCATCGTCCCGGAAGAGGTACATAAACAGAGACGACGTACATTAACTTTGAGATTGGGTATGCTCGATGGAAAAAGGAGAGGAAACTGCGCGTGACTCGCCCTCCGACCGTGGAAGAAGCTGATCAAAGCAGCTGCGAGACGCATATTTGGTTTCGTCAAGTTTCCATCGGTTCCTCGCGTTGGCCCTTTGAAAAATGGAAATTGCGTCCCGGACGCAAACGAACGAACGCGGAGGAAATGCCTGCGGGCTGCTCCTCCCTTTGAGCTGGAAACAAGAAATCGCGTAAGCCCGACTGATTGAACCCCCGGCGAGAAGTTCGCGCCTGTTTGCCCGCCGGAGGTAAAAATATTTACGCGCTCCACGTTATTAACGAGCGTGGAACTCTCGTTCGGTGCACCCTTCGTTCCCCCGCGATCCTCCGTTGCTGACGTTTTGAGTGGGGGGACTTCAAGGTTCCCGAATGGGGGCTACGATCGTGAGAATTCTAGAAAGAGTCATCAGATACAGTGATGAGTCAGTTGTGTATCTAATGTATTCTGAAGTCATGATTAGAACACTTCACAACAAGTCACCAATGGTAGTTATCAGACCCTAACATAAAGATTTTAATTTTATTTCAGTCCATCATTGCTCGTATGACTCGGTGTACACGATCTATCTTGGCGCGAAGAGCCGAATGAAATCTGCAGAAATGATTTTCATTCTCGTAGCAGGACATCCTCCAGGTACTTGTCGGTTAATTACACGGTCGATCCGTGAGCTGGCAGCTCGCAAGCTCGTAATCGAACGTGGCACGACCGCCTGCCGGCGGCCAAAATTAGATCACTCGAATATCACGTGTAAATTATCGCGATCGGGCCACGGCGAGGTTCGAGGAAACTCGTGAAATCAATTACCATAATGCAGACTCACCTTTCGTATTTATAACTCGTCTTAATCAACTCGTCGCCCACCGCGCGAGGATTAATCCGCCTCATCGTGCATCCTGATGAATAACGAACGGGGGATTGAGATTCTTGTGGGCGACAAAAATTTTTATTTCGAATAACCCCTCCTCCAGGTTGGTAGAAACTCGGAACCAAGATGAAGTAGTTTAAAAATGAGATGGGTAAAGCTAGGAAGCTTTTTTCTTGCTAATCTTCATGTTGGGGATGAAAGTTGATGAAACGGTGCGATAACGTTGTTAGTGACAACCTGGCAGGGAGATCTGGAGGCAATTTGGCATGTACTAGTGTGTGAGTTGGACTCTGAAAGTTTCAAAGTATAGCTATGAGATCAGGTGGCTTATTGCCTAGGCATTGACCCTAATTAGCAGGAGTCATTTAGTTGGTGTTGAGCCCTCAGTCTGGAGGTCTTTTGTATCCGGTTTAACTGTAGTCTTTCGGATGTCTTCTTTCTGTTAGGGTCATCATGTTTGCTTTATAACTTCATCCTAATATCTTTCATATCATATTCCTCCCTATTCCATTATCTTCATTCTTTTAAGCACACCAACATACAGGTGTCGCAGGATGCTAGGAATCAAAATCGAGTTGTCACTTATGGCAATCATTTGATCTTCAAGTAAAAGAGTCACACGTAGCTAGATCAGCACCAGCCACAGGCCTCCAGATCGTCGAGTTTGATGAACCCTGTTACCTAACTCGTAGCTCGTTTATTTTCTCATGTCCATTACACAATGATGAGTCTATCCATTCACCATCACCCACGAATGATAGCTACGCGTTGAGGTTAATTTACAGAAGGTATTAAAATTCCTAGTTTGTTTTCTTAAATCTCTTATGCGCCATAGTCGGGGGCATTAACTCGAACAGTATATGCCCTGACCAATCACGACGGTGAAAGTGTATACATAAACTGGATTAACGATACTTTTATCGAACCCGTGTTTATTATGACATTTGACTCTGTTTTACTTATAATACTGTCAAAAACGTGCAAGCTTCACGTTTCGGAGGAACCTGACAGTGTGATTGAATTTTCTTTCGTGGTTTTCGTTTCTCTATTTTTATCCCGGATAGTTTCAAGCTTCTCGGATGATTAAAAAGGGTACATTGATAGATGTACCCGTAGGGGAGAACGGGTCCCTTCATAAAACATGTACCTTTGTCCCCCTTTATCCATTTAATCGTCGTCCATGTTTCTCGAGTCGTTGACTGTCTTCGGGGTTTGGTACAAGTAGTTAGACTTTTTCTAACGGGGCCGCGTACACGCTAGACCATCGCCTCGAGGCCAGTTGTTCCATTGACAGAATGACGAACGTTCCGTGTAGTCACTGGTTACTTCCAGGGCTCGTAAATTCTCGGATATTTCCTGTTTCGATGCTCGCGGACGACATTCGGTTTCCTGCTGTACGCCATCGCGTTACTTTCATCGGCCAGAATTGAAATCCACGTAGCTCGCGAACCATCCGACAGGTGATGCCATCATTAGGGATAGCAGTTGTTGGCCTAGATGGTAGTTTTTATCGTTTGCAAATATTGCGATTGTACCCGGGTAACCGGCTGAAACTGTGAGAAACGACGCTGGAACGACAGACATAGGCGTAGCCGGCGTCGTCGAAATAAGAGATCGTTGTTTATGGTTTCGAGCGGCAGACAGGCTTCGAGGTATTCCTGCACGCGCGAGTTTTACGGCCACTAGAGCTCTGACACTAAATTATCGCCGTCGCGGGTGTACAGGGTGTCCCGGTAGAAAATGTCAATGCTAACAGATTTTATCGCGATGTCTCCGAGAAAGGTTGCTACTCCATTTTTTCGGGGATTACGTTCGCATTTCGTGTCTTATTCTCAGCATTTTCATGTTCTATAA